AAAATTACGACGACATATATAGAAACTACTAAGGATGTAAGAATGATATACTTAGTAACAGCAGTTCACATACTGACTGGTTCCATTAAAAAACTATTACTGATATCAGGTGTCAGTAAACTGCTTCTGTGAAGTGCCAGTAGCATTAAGGATTTGCAGGCCATAAAGTCTCTGCTGCAACTATTCAACTCTACCTTTGTAGCCCCAAAGCAGCCACTGAAAATACATAAACAAATGAACGTGACTATGTTCCAATAAAAGTATTTACTAAAACTGGTCAGATCTGACCTGTGGGCCAGTTTACTAATCCCTGACTAATGCTTATGAAATCGCGGAGCTGGAAAACTCTGAGTCACATAGTACCATTTCCCACTCCATGCCAAGATACCCTCTGTATCTGGCCTGTTTACGTCCCAGCAACCATCCAGCTCTGAACAGATTTCATAATTGGACTGTTCTCCAAGCTAGATCTGCTTCTCAATGAGGGACTGCAATCAACAGATATGTCTTCGTTGCATGGGACTGTGCAGGACCATAGGTCATTTATCATCCCTAGCTCCCACACACTAAATGCCACTGCATACACACATACACCCATCACTCTGACCAACTGAAAACACTCCCACATATTTCCAAATACCCTGGCGGGGACCAGTGTTGCTGCCTATCAGTTAAGACCAACAGAGCTATATCAGAGATGGGGATTGTGTCCATTCCCCCTTCTACCTATGGCCATCTACCTATCAGATATGACTGATCAATTACAATACTCTTTCTTACTGAGGCTGGACTCCGCCTCAGAATTCTTAACACAATGGTTAAGAGAGCCACCACCAATGAATCAGAATTGTGACATGTTAGAACATGTTTGTTGTCCCTAGTCTAAAAAGATAGTTCTACATACATAATCCGGGGGGGAAAAAAACTGGCATCCTTTAACTTTATAGAGCTAAAAAGTACTATGGGTTAAAAGCATGGCCCCCGGATGTTCTGCCAACCCAGAACTAAAACAATTCCCAAGGCCAACTCTTCAGACAAAGACTGGACTGGACTATGGGACATAAAATGATACTTGTGAAGAATGTGCTTCTTAGCTCAAGTAGATACATGAGACTAAACAGGCAGCTCCTGTCCAGAGGCGAGATGAGAAGGCAGAGAGGGTCAGGAGCTGGTTGAATGGACACAGGAAATCAGGGGTGGAAAGGAGGAGTGTGCTATCACAGTATAGGGAGAGCAATTAGGGTCACATAACAATGTATGTATAAATTTTTGTATGAGAGACTAACTTGAATTGTAAATTTTCACTTAAACTACAACAATTAAAAAGAAAAAGAAAAAAAATACTATGGTTTAACTGTAAACCCTAAGGGATGTTTTGAAAGTTTGAGAGCATTTTTTGGTTGTCACAATGGTTGAGGGGCACTAAAAGCACTGAGGCAGGGGATGCCAGATATACTGCACTGCTAGGGACAGTCTACATGGCAAAGAAGTGTCCCTTATCCTCCATGATTTTCTAAAATCCCACCAGATATTTATGTAGATGAAAAATCTGTTTCAATTACCTAATTCAAGCCTAGATTATAACTCCCTTTTACATATAAAAATGAATTACCTTTTGCACAGTTTTAATAAATACTGAATTTTCCAGCCATGCAACTGCTTTAGAGACAAGACTGTACTTTTCTCTAAACTTTACCAAAAGTTATTCACCATTTTGGAAAATCATGTCAATGATAGCAATACAGTTCAGTAAAAGTACAACTTACCTGCATAAGTCTGCATTTGCAGCTGTCTTGTTCACAGTCATTCTAGATACAGGTTCAAGAAGTTGACTATGTCAAAACATTTTATATTAAAATACATACTGTTTAATTTTAAATAACTTTATTTCTCCTTTATATTATATTTAGAACATTGTTAATTTCTTTGCAATCATGTTTGTCAGGAAGCTCAGTATAAACAGGATAGTATAAAAGCTATTACAAAATATTTGTAAAAACGGTGTTAGATTTGATACGCTGAGAACCACTAGTGTAAACCAATGACACCTTTTCTGTCAAATTTTACCAACACAGACACCAATCTTTCCCACAATTTTTAAACAAATGTGTTTCAGGGGTTCAGCCACAGCTTTATGTGGCTACCTGTAAAAATGGCATGGCAGGGGCATCTGACCTCCTCTAACTTCACACGGGGGAAGGAGAATCAAGATCAACAGCCCAGGGCTGATTCCTATGAGGTGGAGGTCAGGCATACCCTCCACCCTCCAATCTTTTTACAAATTCTGATACCAACAGTCCCTCCCATGGCACTCTACTTCTCTGCTGGGTTCGATAATTTGTTGCAATGGCCACAAAGAACTTATAGACGATACTCATGATTATAGGGTTTATTAGAGAAGTAACAGGTTACAGTTCAGGTTCAGGAACACTCAGGATACAGTTTTTCGATTAAGATAGCCTTGTCTCAGCCATGCCTGCAGGCACTGCTCTCTCTGGTCCTCAGCCCCTGCCCTGCTTGGGTAAGTGTTACAAAGCTCTGTAAGTTCTGCTAATAAGTGCCTGGAGGCATCCCACTCCGCCAGGAAGCCTTGGCCCAAAGGCGCTCAGCGATCTCACTCCATGGGTTGGTAAGCCTAGCTCTGACAAATGCCCGGAGGCATCCCACTCTAACAGGATGCCTCCTGCCCAAAGGCGCTCAGCTCTCTTGCTCCATGGGTTGGCAAGCCTAGCGCCGAAAAGTGCCCAGAGGCACCCCCTCTGCCAGCAGCAAGTCTCCTGCTCAAAGGCACTCAGCTTCCTCGCTCCGTGTGCCAGGAAGCCCACCGCACCGTCTGCTGCCAATCTCCTGGTTCTGCTGCCTCTGCTTCTTGCCATCTCTCACCATCTCCACTGTTACAGCTCTGACTCCAGGATCTAGGAGGTTCTCAGGGCACGGATCCCAGGACCAAAGAACGTGTTCCACTCCTGGCTCTTCTTTCTTGGTTGGGGTGGTGAGATCTTCTCTTCCCACCTCTGGGATGGCTCATTTTAAGCCTAGCAGGATGGCAAAACTGACCAATCCCTTCATTAGGATTCTGTACACATTATTTACATGGCTCCACCCCCACAAGGGTACCATGCACCTTATATACATTATTAGCAAGTTATCCAATCCCTTTGGTGGGCCACAAGCACCTCACTTGCATAGTCCCACCCAGTTGTTTGGTGAGAGTTACTAAGATTATGGCTAGAAGGACCATATTAAGTAATTTACTGTACCCCACTACCTGAAGCCATTTTCACAGGTAAATACTAGATCTCTCAATGTGAGTGCAAAGTACACAAGCAAGCAACGGCTGTGAAAACCAATAGCTTAGGACCTCTAAATTCTCCAGCACGTTATACCTGTCTCTTCAGCCACTTCTACCTGATTGCGGAGGAAACTCGTCAACAAAAGAACGCAGCTGCCACTGAAGCAATTGCCACTGAGCATCAGATGCAACAATTCTACCCAGTCAGTCTATTTTCCACATTATACTATGTTGGCTGGATCCTGTCCCTTGTCTGACACACGGCAGGCTCTAGAACACCACTGTCCAGTAGAACACTCTGAAATGATAGAAATGGTTGATACCTGCACTACCGCATAAAGTAGCCACTAGCCACATGTGGCATGTGAGCACTTGCAGTGTGGCTTAGTGCGACTGAAGAATTGAATTCTTAATTTTAATTTTAATTTCAATAGCCACATATGACATGGCCACTGTACTGGTCAGCACAATTTTAGAATACCAGAGCTGAAAAGGGTCCTGGAGGCCAAAAATTCTGCCATTTTTAGTCTAGGAGAAAAATCTGCCACAGCTAGGAATTATAAAGCAGCTGCTGAGGGGGATAATGCCCTCTGTGTAAGTGTTTCCCATGAAGTTTGCCATAATAATAGAAAAAATAAGAACACTGATGAAATCCAACCTTTCTTTTCAACTGACATTATAAGCTCAGCAGCAAAACAACTCATCCAGTCATACAGCCTGTTAGCAGCCCAGCTAGGCTCTAGATACTCAGCTCAGGGCCCTTTTATTTGTCTACTATTATATGAATGAATGACTCGGTGGGAATCCAATTATCACATGTCCAATTCCCCATTCACTACCTAATAAACACAGCATTAATCTCACCAACTGATAAACTCGTTCTTCAAAGCTAGCCTTAGTTGTGAATAATTTTAATTTTAAAAACACAGAGATGAAGATTTAAACCAAAGCTTAAAAAAAAAATGTTTTTAAATAAGAGATTACTAGTTTTAGATTTAAGGGTTTAACACTGGCTAAAAATGGCAATAAAATCTCTATATATAATTTATGTATATTTATATATAATCTCTCTATATATCTACATAATAATAATACACTAAGGCCACTGACAACCCTAGTTTCCAAGAACATTAATTACTGTTTACCTCTGCAAGTCTTTTTTAAAACCCTTTTTAGTTCACAGCAGTCTTTAAGTCTTTCAAGTATGGATAAAAATTCATATATGAGAAGAACTGTATGGTATGCAGCTACCATTATTGAACATTTTGATCAAAGATTCCATAGAAGAATCCTGATCAAAAGGGGAGAAATGCAGAACAGAATTTCTAATTCTCATGTACTCCAGACTTCCTGGAGCCATGGAGGGTGGATGAACCCCTGAAATTATTGCCCTGAGATAATCTTTAAACCTTAAACCAAAAATATCCCCTGAAGTCTTTTTAAAACCAAACAATTGTTTAGCTTAACTAGTAAAAGAGGTCTGCCTTGAGCATTACGCTCTTTTAAGAACTAACTATAAGGGATGAAACTGACAAAAGCAACTTAAAAGATTAGATAGGAACTTTAGAGGGCAGTGAGTTTATGCTAATGGGGAAGGAACAACTCAGAAAAGGAGGGTGAGAATGGTTGTACAACTCAAAGAATGTAATCAATATCACTAAATTGTACATGTAGAAACTGTTGAATTGCTGTATGTTTTGCTGTGTGTATTTTCAACAACGAAATAAATAGAACAAAAAATCATATATGTTCAAAGACTAAACTCCAAAGCAAAATTATAAATGTAAGCAATATTAGATCTCAGGAAATTTTTAAACCAAGTTTTCAACTATTCTAGGTTTAAGTGGTGACATTTCATTTTGAGAGCCAGGAGAGGCAAGTATGTTGGAATCTGTAATTCCAATGATTTGTCTTCTCCATTCTTTAGAGACACGCATGTAAAAATTAGTGCTAGGGGAACAAAAAAAACCAATACATGTCTTAGAATAACCTCTAAAGATTCTTGTGTCTCCCAGAGAATAAGACATAGCCAGGTCCAAAGAACTATCACTTTGTCACACTTCTCTGCAGAAAATATTACACAAAATTATCCAGAGATGATCTGCTTCTAAGCCCTAAAAGGAGTATTAGCTACCTAGCTATCATCGATCCAAAGCCAGCTCTGCTTCAACACAAGCTTGTCTAAGTATTAGATGTGTAGAAGACAAAGCTGAAAAGGACTGCTAATAAATGGGTCAGAAAATTAAGACCAAAATAGATCTTCACAAACTGAAATTCTGGGCTGCTAAAACACAGGCAAATTAAAATTTAACAGGAGTAAATGTGAAGTTCCACATTTCAGTTAAAAAATCAGTTATACAAGTAGAGGGGGCCAGACTATGAAAATTAGTCTGGTTCCTACAGAATTCTGAGACCTTTGGCTTACCAAAACTTTCATATAAGAACATGATGTATCTGCTTACATGCTAGTACAATTTTGGACTTCAACAATAGAATAGTATGGTATCCACCCTGCAGGAAGTAATAGCTCCACTATTTGTTGCCTTGGCCAGACATCTAAAACATACAGGCTATTATGGAAGTCGGATTCTCAGGATACTGACAACATGCTGCTGCCAGGTGCTGTCAAGTCAATTCTGACTCATAGGGACTCCATGTGACAGAGTAAAACTGCCCCATGGGGTTTTCTAGGCTGTAATCTTTATAGGAACAGAGCGCCAGGTCTTTCTTCTGTGAGTCTGAACCGCCAACCTTTTGATTAGCAGCCCAGCACTTAACTGTTGGGCTCCTTACTCACAATTTAATTCATCCAAAATAAGGTGATGAGGATGGTGCGAGATCAGGGTATTAGCATTCTTTAACCTGGAGAAGAGACAGTTATCTTTAAATATGTGACAAAATTTTACGTAGCAAAGAGAGAATAGATATTCTGTGTTGCTCTGGATGATACAACTAGAACCAGGTTGCATAAAAAGGAAGTGAACGCCCTGTTACTGCAAGTATTCCTGCAAGGGCCATACGACGGTGGGACGAGATAGTGTGTGAGGTACTCAAATTCGGTAGAAGATTGGCTTAAGTGGCCACTACAGGTTCATTCCAATTCTATAATGCTATTATTTTAAGTGCAGAAGAGAAAGAAAAGTTGGGTCAGCAAACATTTTATTTCCCTAATAGCAAGTTTGGTTGGTAAAAAGGACAGAGACTGAAAAAGTCAAAGTGATTCTAAAGTACATTAAAATATACATGATATGTAAAGATCTACACATGAGAACAGTGGAAAAGGGAACTGATTTACTGTTAGAAGACCTAGGTTGCATCCCAGTTCTGACACAGCCTAGCTCTATAGGACCCTGGGCAAACCACTTAACCTTTCTGGAGTTTTTCCCATCTCTGAAATGGAGACACCACCTGTTCTGCCCTAAGAATCAAATGACCACAAGATAAATACTTTGTAAATAATTTACACATAAATTTTCTATGTTGTTACTCTACATTAGTCACACTCTTTCAAGCTTTGCTCGCCACACTTTGAAAAGGGTGTGAAAAACCTAGAATCTTGAAAGATCAACCAAGGAGGGAAAAAAAAATCAAACCCATTACTGTCAAGCTGATTCCAACTCATGGCAAGCCCGTGTGTTTCAGACTAGAAATGACCCCCACAGGGTATTCTTGGCTGTAATCTTTATGGAAGCAGATCACCAGGCCTTTCTTCCATGGAGCTGCTGGGTAGGTTTGAACCACCAACCTTTTGGTTAGCAGTCAAGCACAAACCATTTGCACCACCTTGTGAACTGACTAGACAGAAAGTATATTACAGGTAGAAACCTTAAAGGAATTAAGATAGTCTTACCTGAGGAAAGTTAACAAGGTATTTATTACAGAACAGGTTAAGTGTTCCTGAAAGGGATGTTGTTCGGTTGTTTTCTATAAACAGAGAATAAAGACTAAGAAGAAGTGGACTTAAAAGATACAAGATGAATATAAGACTACATACGCAAGATTTCAGAGGCAGGGGTGGGGGGAATGCTAAGGAAGAACCTTTACATGCTTGTTTTGAGGATCAAATGAAAACATACAAACTAAAAAGCAACAAACAGACATTAGGAGTTTTTATTCTTGCTTGTTAGGATAAGACCCTGGAAGAGGCTATGGAGGTTTAAGAATCAAAACCCACCTGTTCTGGACTGGTCAACATTTACCATCTTCAAGGGGGTTAAACAGATCATCTTCCAAGGTCCTTTCTAGCTCTAGGATTCAGTGAATTAGAGCCAATACATAACTTTATTAGAGAAACAAAGCTGACAGATCAGCTGAGTATGCTTTATATACGTGTTCTGCTTTAACCAAAAGTATTCTTGTTCTCAAGTGATAAAGCAAATGTGGTAAAATCTTAAAAACTGGATCTGGATAAAGGGCATCCAAGTGTTCCTTGTACTATCTTTATCTTTGCAACTTCATTCAACTACGTACTACAAAATAGCCATTACTTAGGTTTAAAATATTGGGAGTTAACCCTGATACTATTATCTATACAGTCACAAAGTTCTTGTGGAAAAGTCTAGAACTTGATTATGCATCACCTCCTCAGAACTGCCTTTCCCCCCGCCCCCCAATTCGAATTCACTCGTATCTAGTGTTTGTTCTTCTCCTATCTACAGTGTTCTCGTCAAGTCTCCATGCCTTCACCTTCTCAATTTTGAAAATGTTGTTGCTGTTAGTTGCTGTCGAGTCGATTCCAATTCTGACCTATACCAATACTAAAACAAACTTCAATACTTGTTCTTCTATTCACATCTCAACCCTCCCTCAAACCTCTTCTTGATTCCTTATTACCATGTAATCTCTGACTTCAAGAGTCTCTCTGCCAGGTCATTCTTGTGAGAGGTGGGAAGGGTTTGCCCCAGGTGCATGCAGTAAGGGGATGCACTGCCTGTAGAGAATTAAAAACAGTAATAAAACCAACTAAAAGTCTGTCTGCTTTTTATTATCATTATGTTCTAGAAATTCTAAACAACCTCAATGCTAAGACATTCCTCTGACCGTAGCAGACAGCTCCCATGATCACCCCTCACTACTCCACTGGTAATGGTCAACCTCCCCCATCCCCACCCAAATTTTTTATGCAACCGTTCTTCCTTTTCTTAGGTTCTCAAACCAAATAAAACTAACCACGAAGGCTAAGAGTAATCCGTGTATTTTCTACACTATTTGCAATTATGAGGCATATCATTCCGCTGTAACAGAAAAGTTCACATATCATTTAATGTGATACCTCCCTGTCAGGAAAACTAAGGGAAGTCCCTGTATATACAGCAGAGCCCATTTCTACATCTGATCCATGATGGTTTAGTATTAAAACCATTGTAAAAATCAACAATGATCTGAACAAGTATTTCACAGCCATAACTGCAAGCCTAGAAGCTGGGAAATGGGCTAAGATTTATGGGATTAGACTCAGCTGAATGGACAGGGCCCTACTAACAGGACTGCAGTCCTATCTGGCTGCTCTGATGCCCTGATGAGTCACTTTGAGGTCCAGGTCCTCTTGGTCACTATGAAAGAAAATGCCTAAACACAGCAGAGGAAAAGGGACAAAAAGGTGATGCTAAGAGCAGGGATGACTGCTTCAGTCAACCTTGCTGAGGGCCTTGCTCTGCTTCACGGGCAGCGTAGCAGCTGGGTGGTAGGTCAGCAGAAGATCCGTACAGTACTCTATTTGGTACCTCCCTGTGCAGAAGCTGTACCCCTCAGCTGTAACAAATTCGCCAGATTGTATCAATGACAGGGAATGGTTTTCTAACTAGAGTATACAGATACCAGAGAATGGACTATATAAAAATAAAATTGATAACCAGAAAATGTGGAACCAAAATAATCAATATGCCAAATTACTTTATTTATTACGAACTGATGATTAAGGAGAATAAAATGTGTAAGCTGTGTATATGAAGAAAGAGTCTTCGTTATTGCTGTTTTAATAGATCTTCCAATGCACAGACACATATTTCACTGTAGCAGAAATAAAAAAGAAATAGTAAATCCACAAGAATAACTAGCAATTTGCCAAACCCTAATAAAAAATGTGATTATTAGTTAAACAGTAAAATACAACTAAACCCAAAAGAATAATAACACATAGAATTTATCTAGAGAGAAAGCTCAGAAACTTATTCTACCATTAGAACAAAGAACAAAAATTCCAAAGATTATACACAACACAGGGCAATCAAATTTCAAACATACCTTTCAGATATATAACCAGAAACTTGCTGCAGAAGGCAGGCACTTTTATTATGTCTCAACAAGCACTTCCTCCAACCATGAATTAAAGCCTGAAGACTTACACACTTTTTCAACGGCTTTATTTCCCAAAAACTGAGATAAAGAAGGAAAATGTATTTTTAAACCACAACTGTATGGAAAAATAAGAACTAGCCTTACTAGCTAAGCAGTCTTGTCTACTCTAAAAAAATAAATTTAAAGTAAGACATACACAGAAATCAACATAGCAGTTAATTCAGTGACTTTAGAGATCAGTGTCATTTCATTCTCTAAATTGAAAAATTATTCAATACGCTCATCTACATTTTAAATCATTGTTTATGTTTATGCTTCACTTTTGCAAATATCAGCTGTGCCCCTAAACATAAGGAAACTGTAACAGCCCTCTTACTCAGCACAGCTCTTCAAGGCCATCAAGAGTTAACGAGCTAGCAAGACAATGAGGCACCAATGAGTATCAAATATTCTAGTTTACTTGAGTGAATTCAAGTCAGACCAATATCAGATCTAAAAGTCATCAACAGGGCACTTTCAAAAAATGAAAAAATTCAACACTTGAAAGATCAAACAGCTGAAACAAGCGAAACAATCATCAGCTATCACTCTCCACCACCGACAGTGTTAGGATTCTTCCTAAATACCTTACACAAACCAAGACCAAACTCATTGCCTTTGAGTCGATTCTGACTCATAGTAAACCTACAGGACAGAGCACAACTGCCCCATAGGGTTTCCAAGGAGCACTGATGGATTTGCACTGCCGACCTTTTGGTTAGCAGCCAATCTCTTAACCACTGTGCCACCAGTTCATGGTAAAAATCTAACTCATTTATCACCTACTTATATAATGTAGATTAGGAAGTACATATTAACTGCAGCCTATAAAACATAAATCAAATGTAGACAACAACTAAAATTGATAATAATTACCTCCTGGTAAAGATCAAAACAAGCCTGCATACTACGCACTGGCCATTAAGAAAAACTAAATGTGCCAATGTGTATATAACAACAGATTTCACTGTTTTTTAAAAGTACTTCCAAAGGCATATATATAGATTTCCCTGCAGTAGAAATAAAAAGGAACAGTAAATTCTTAGGAATTGCTAGTAGTTTGCTACACCCTAATCTAAAATTGTCCTTCCTGGTTAAGCTTAAAAACTAAACCCAATAGGATAAGTTTTAGAAAAAATGTGTTAGAAAGTTGGGCACGTAAACAACGAGCTGTAACGGCAAACACTGACAGCACTGGCTTTCCACGCGATGATCACTAAGGTTTTAAACGCATTTAGGAGTTCATCCCCTGACAGAGGAAATAAGACAATCTAAACTCTGCAGAGTAAAGTCCAAAAGGAAAACTTTGGTTGACTTGCTTGTATGACAGGGAACTTTAAAGTACTATCAATTTGACAAAGAAAAGCACCTAAGTTGGGTCTGGGTGAGGAAGAGTTTTAAGTTTTCCCTGGAGTGTAAAATATTTCCCCGAAATTCACACAGTGGGGGAAACACATTTTAAAAAGCCACATTAATTAACTGCAAGTCAAACAATACAGAGTTCAGCACCCAATAGGTGGCTAGCCATCCTTCTGATCCGTTAGGTCAAGGTGCCCTTCTCATCTACGCCCCTCACAGAAGGACTGTCTCCTATTTATTCTCTCCATGGAAGCCAATCTTTACCATTTCGTGCCACCTTCACAGGCAATCCGCCGGGACCCGAGACACTCCCCCTACTCGGGGCTGCTTCCCTCCGAGATGCATCTCTGCCCAGTGTCATCCGCAACCCTAGCTTCAGGCCCGTTCGGCCTCAGGGTCCCCGGTACCTCCCTCCTCAGCCCCTCACCGCTGCCCCAAGGGGTGGTCTCCCCTTCCCTGGCCACCGCTCCTGGCCCCCTCTCTCAGCCTCGGGATCCCGGCTCTCAGGGAGTCCAGACTCTCTCATCCCTACCCGTTCTCCCCGTCCCGCGGCGCCGGGCGACAGCGGGGCCAAGAGGCATCCACTGAAGAGGCAATTGCCTGGGACCTTCCGACTCCGAACTCACCTCCAGTCCCGGCTCTCGGATCTTGGCCCGGAGCCGGGCTTCCGCCTCGCGCCGGAAGGCGTTCGCGCGCGCGACCGGAAGTCCCGCCTTCACTTGCTCCCTGCCCGCTTGCTAGCAGGGTTCCCGCAGGGAGCACCTGGAGGAGCTGAGAGAGTAGGAGGGGTCGCTGGCAGTAGTCGGAGGCACTTAGCCTGAAAAGGTGGCATGCCTGAGTCTCCTTTTTCCCGCGTTCCTTCTCTTTTTCAGTCAGCAACTCTGCAAACGCTTGACCAAGCGCCTACCTATTCTATTCAAGCCCTGTGAGGAACAAGAGGACTCAGACACTGACCCCTGCCCTCACTAGTTGGAAATTGACATAAATAAAAACAAAGGTTAATCACACTACGCGGTGATTTTTCTTCCTTCATCCATTAATTGAACAAACTTGCATTACATTGTATATATCACTCCTTCCACAACCAGGCACTGCCGTAGGTGCTGGAAATATATCGGTAAACGGGCGGAAGTGTAAACTCAAGACAGTGAACTATGCATAGAATAAATCAGACAGCAGCCCGTCCCTCGGAAGCTTAGTGTGGTATGGTGGAGTGTAGGGAGCTAGGCAGAAAAGGCTTTCTAGAGATAGTGACCCTTCTGTTAACATGGAACTAAACAATAAATAAAGCTAGGGGGCAGACAAGATTGTGAAGGACATGCGGAGCGGAAGGATGCCAGGGAGTGAGTTTGGTTTGTTGAGGGGCACAGTCAATTTAGCAAGGCCTGAGATCATGGAGGCAAGGCCAAAGCATGAAGACTATTGTACATGATGCTAAGAAATTTGGACTTTAGCCTGCGTGTTCCAGGAAAACAATGGGGTTTTCTAGGGGAATAAACAAAAAGTGAGTCATGAGGTTGACTAGGATGGTTGACCTGGTCATCAAAGAAAAATAAGAACTTGAAAGATCATGGATATAACATTTTACCCTAAAGGGTGCTTTCTCAAACTGCCATACCCCATTGTAAAGACAATGGATGACTACCAAACCAAAACAAACCCATTGCTGTCAAGTCAATTGCAACTCATAGCGACCCTAAACCAAAATCAAACCAAACCCGTTGCTGCGGAGTAGATTCCAACTCATACTGACCCTACAGGACAGAGTAGAACTGCCCCATAGGGTTTCCAAGGAGCGGCTGGTGGATTAGAAATGCCAACCTTTTGGTTAGCAGCTGAGCTCTTACCACAGTGCCACCAGAGCTCATACTTCTCAGGTTGCCCTGTGTTCTAGGGTGACCAGCTGTCCTGGTTTGCCCAGGATGGAGGGATATCTCATGATGCTGGACTTTTGGTGCTTAAACTGGGACAGTCTTGGGGAAACTAGGAAAAGTTGGTCACCCTATCATATCCTCATAGTCCAAAAATTGGCACATCCTAAACTGGGCCATTTAGAATCGTTCTCCCAGGAACTTCAAACATGGAATAGGGAAACACAGAGAGAAGACAGACATTAGAGCTGAGATATACAAACGGCAGGGCCCTAAAGAGAAGATCTATAAGTACCTTTGCCAAGGACCCTGGACCTGCCCTGTTTCCTTTGATTACATGAGATATCTTTATATACTTCCAATACACTTTCTGCTTAAGTAGACAAAGAAGGCATCTAGTGCTTGCAATCAAAATAATCTTAAGGAGCATACCCATACCACATCCTTTTTTAAGATAATCTGCATCCAGAGCTCCTACTGAATAGCCAGAGTTGAATAACCCATACTCATTGCCACAGCAAACTGGACCAGATGTGCACACTTAGTCCATACAGGGCTAAGACGGTCTCTCATGCATGGATTTTGAAGTTTGCATACAAAGCTCCACTTGGTCTCTCCTGCATGCTTAGACAGAAATGTCACGTAAACCTAGGATTGAATTAGACATAAGCAAGATGTCTAAAGCTGGTGGAGGAAAAAAGGAGAGGAACAGGAGGGAGGAAGAGGAAGTAGGGATGAGAAGGAGAAGAGAAAAGAGAAAAAATTATCTCTGAGGTGGTAATCTTAGTTTCCCATCTTCCCATTTTTGATCCCCAATTTCTTGTAAGGTCCAGCTAAACTTCCTGTGTCCTTAAACTCTATGAAAATTCTGTGTCATTCCAGTAAATTTCTTCATTTTTCTTAGGTTAATTTTAGTAGGTTTCTGTTCCTAGTAATCAAACACTAAGGCATCAACTCACCAAGACACAAGGTAGCCTCCTCACTCAATAATACCTCTCTTCTCACCAGAATTCTGGGCCAGCTTCTCCCCGCAGGCCAATGACAAGAGGAGAATTTGCACACCTCCACTGCTTCTGGCCCCTTCAGGAAAACCGTCACAATAACCAAGGAGTTCAATAACTTTAGTGTTAAAATCATGTGGGCGGGGAGAATTGTATGCTCGTAGAATACAAAGCTGGAAGGATTCCAAATTCTTCATTAGACAGAGCTAAAGGGAGCTGAAATCCAGCTAGACATAGTGGTTTTCCCAAGGCAAAACAGCTCAGTAGTGTTACTGAACCTGGAAAGTTGGGTCCTTGTCCGGCACACTCAGACTTGACAATTACCTGGACACTGGTCTTTGACAAAGAGAAGGTAACTTTATTGTAATGCACAGAAAAAGGAGCCAGGAGGAAGCTCCTCAGACCCAGCTCCTCCAACTACGGGTAGGTAGGGGTTATATGTGATTTGGGCAGCAAGATGGCGGCCATGCAGGTGTTCTCAGGAGGGAAAACTCTAGAAGGTGGCCAGGAAACAGGAGGTGACATGGTTCTTATCAGACCTGTAGCTTTGAAATAGGGTCTGGGTGATGGTTTTCCTTCTGATTCATTCCTCCTGTTGCTGCATCTGCTGTTGAGGTCAATTAGAGGTCACAGCTGGCCCTTCTGCAAATGCAGGGCAGGCCAAATCTGATTTGGGCTAGTTTAAGGACTAATGGAAACTTACTGGCATTCGTAGAGTCAGGTTACAATAGTTTCAGAAACAAGACTAGTTCAAGATCTCGTCTCTCCTAGACCACTGCTCTGCCCACTTCCCTTGGGGTAGGGTGCCACTCTACTCGGTTGATCAGTTAACTTCTGGTGTGGAGAGAGTGCACCACCAAGGAGGTTACTATGAGATCCTTAAAAGGGTGGGATTCCACCTGCTCACACCTACCTGCTGGCCTGCAGTGTTTACCTATACAGTATCAATATAACGGCACTGGCCTGGCTGCAGAATCCTGAGAACTGCTCAGGACACATTTGTGAGTGGGTGTGGATAATAGATACGGTACTGGGAACCAGGGGAAAAGATTTTAAGGAAAAATTTCCTACTTTTTTTTTTTTTTTGGTACTCACCAACTGGCTCAGACAGATGGGTAATTAACAGAGCTAATTAGGTCATCATGAGTTGGAATAGACTCCATGGCAACTGGTTTGTTTGTTTGTTTGTTTTTCTGGTTAATAAGGTTAGTCGCTTACAAAGTTTATTTGCACATTCTACATTCTCTTTAGTGCATACATGGTGTTTTTCTTGTCAGTATTTCTTTTTTTCACCATCACTGTCAACACCGTTATCATTTATGTCTAAAACTATACCATCTCCCCTTTGTAATTTAGCAACTTGCGGCAAAATCAACTAATCTATACTTGAAGGCAACTGAAACAGCATGTTACCTGCTGCCCTGGCACAGGGTCCTGTCTACATATGTCATCTAAGCTTCCAACCCTTGGGGCTCAAAGTCGAGGGTACTTTCAAATGCTTTCTCTCCAGCCCAGATCAAGTTTTATCAGCAGAACAAAAAGTAGCTCGGCTGAAACCCATCTTGCAAATAATTGTTTTTAAAATGTCTCCTTTTTCTTCCTTCAGCTCCTCTGTCTACATGGGAGAGAGATCAGAAATATCTAAGACAGATATCATACTGCCTTTACTAGCCTTTGTTTCCCAGAAGAACTTTTTTATTCTTCCTCAGCTAAACACAACCTTCATTCATCTGTTCATTTCACAAAGACTCAGAGAGCATCTACTGTTCTGCATGCTAGGGATACCTTGGAGGACAAAAGAGACAATAATCCTTACCCTTGTGGAGTTTACATTCTACTGGGAAGAGACAAAATCAACAATAAGCCTAATAAATAAATACATTACATGATGATAAATACACTGGGGGAAAAAATAGAGAAAGTTAAAGGGGCATGAGGTGGGAGGAGGGGTGGAAATTACAATCATCATAAAGTGACATTTGAGTAGAGGCTTGAAGAAAGTGAGGGGAAAAAGCATGTCTGGGGAAAAGTGTTCCAGACAGAAAGACTAGCCAGGATAAAGGGCCTCAGGGAGGAGCACACAAATCTAATTCTGGATACCTACTTCTCTAGTGTGCAACATGCTCAGATATGTCTTTATTAATTCCAGCTTAGGCCCAGACTGGACCCACCGCTAGAAAGATTGATTGATTTGCATTTTCTGTCTCCACGTGTCAGTCCTGCAGACATTTCTTCTTTGCCAGCAGCTCGTTAGGCTTTGTCAGTAGGGGGTGTCAGAGGGAGACTGGAAGCCTGGAGGCAGAGAAGGGTCTTGCTCCTTTCTGTTTCCCGTTTCCTGTCAGCATCACCTACCAATGGCCCTTTACCCTGCGCATGGCTGTTAGGCTTCCGGCTTTTACCCAACTCCCCAAACCAACTTCTTCAGACCCTTCAGACTATTTGCTACAGAAGGATAGTCCCTCTTCAGAGGCCTGGGTCCCACTTCTGCAGTCCTCTGCCCTTCTGTTTGCCCCCACAGCCTTAGAGGTTGAGCTGCTTCCTGTAACTACTGACTCTCTACGACCTCAGGGCTCCCTCTTGCCTTTTCAGTCATTCATCACTCATTTAACCAGTTCCCAACATTAAATTCTCTCAGCTAAGATAACTAGTGCAGTTTCTTTCTCCTGGCTGGACCCTGATTGATACAGGGCACTAGACTAACATTCCTGCTAAAAATTGTGTTTACTTCATCTCTGACTCCAAGCACCATCACAATACCTGGCATATAATTGTTGTTGTTGTTGTTAGGAGACTCCGGATCAG